GATCTCCCTGGCCTCTGAATGCAGAAGCCAGCAAGGTCAGGCTGAGCTCATCTCACCAACTCCCCACTGAGTGAAGTCACATTGGTGGCTGCCAATCATCTATGGTGGGTGGGAGTATTTACATCATAAACATCGTCAAATGTTGCAAATCGAAACTTACTGAGAAGATCCAGTTTAAACATTTACCACTTCCCTGCCTCCAAGTGCAGTCACTCTAATCCAGCCTGATGCCTGACGCATCTGTCCACTGTCCACAGGATGACTGGAAAACTGAACCTAACCAAACCCCTGTGACTCCACTTCTTTGGGAAAACTTTTAGCTCCTTGGGGTGACATGAAACATACTTGGTCCTCTGGCACTTGCCTGACTTTCCATTTTATCTTATGCCTCCTAGACGCCATTCAAGCTCCTGCCATCCTTACTGACAAGACTTAAGGCTGTGGGATGCAGATTGACAATTGAATCCATATATGCAATGTGCAATAGTCACATCAGGACAATGAGCTTTTCTACCTCCTAAAACATATCTTATTCCTTGGTGCTGGGAGCCTCCACATTCTTCCCTTCTGGTTCTTCACGAAGTTTATATTATATTGTCGTTTACAATGTCACTACATGTTATTTCATTTATCATATATTGTCACTTTGTCACTTATGTAATTTATAATACATTATTGTAAACCACCGCCACCCTCCTGTCCTGGGTCACTTCACTCCTAGCAGGTGTTTGCTGGCTTCAAAAGCCACCAACCGGGCTTTGATAGACCCCCTGTTTGGAAGAGTCACACAACACCTGCATTGGCTGTGCTGCTTAAAAAGAGGGACCCTCATATGTCCCTCTGGGTCTGGGTTGGGACCCTGGAAGGTCAGGAGTGTCCCAAAAGTGGAGCAGTCCTCCCAGGTACTGAAGCCACATCCCATCTGGGTCAATGTCACCTGAGGCTGCAGCACTGATTGGCAGTAACAGTGAATTATCTTGTGAAAAAGACATCATCACCTAGAGTTTCGAATGGAGCTCTACAATTTTGACCTGCAGCTTCCAGCAGTCAATAAAAGGTTAAGTAAATGCCAGACAACTGGTACCCTAGGGAAGCCAACATGCACAGAGAAACACAGCAAGAATGCAAAGTAATAGTTTCCAGACTCAGCCTCTGAAAGACCTGTGCACAACAGGCTTGAAGATTTAAAAGACACGATGGAAAATTTTAATAGAGAACTAGAAACTATACCAAAAAAGGGAAACATATGGCAATCTCAGAACTGAAAGATGCAATTAACTGGCATTGGGAAATAGTGAATATTGAACACTTCCCATGTGGGTGGTGCTGTGCTCAACACTGCACAGGCCTCCACGCCAGACACATGGAAGTCGGCTTCCCTGTGCAAGGCCCACAGTCTGCGTGTGGAAGGACTTGTCTTTCAACCCTGTGTACTATCACTTTGGAGACTTGCACAGCCAAAACCCCTTGGAAAGAGTTCCAGTCCCTTCTGTTGTCAGCATGTGTAATAGGGCGGGCAGGGCTCTGCACACAGGGGGCATCTGTTATATCCATGGTTACTGGAAGCCGATTAGGAGATTGGAGGCTCCTGTGTGTTGTGGTCATGCAGCCTGGCTCAGGAAGCTTGGTGCATGTCTGAGTACCCACAACAAGGAACAGGTTTAGCCAGAGATGTCCTGTGGGCAGAAACGGTAGGGACACCAACTGCTCTGGTGAGCTTTAAGGGAACCAAGAGACTGTGGGCAGAAGCGTGAGGAGTAACAGGCAGTCTCCCCTTTCTCCTTCTTTCTCCCAACCTAGACTGAGCGGTGCCCTTTTAGAATCAGTACAGGTCTGGGACTGTAGGGGAGAAAAGAGTATAGGCTCAGGACACAGGGAGAGGAACGTGGATCAGTACATAGAGGAAGGAGTATAGCAATCAAAGCTGTAGTGTTGCAGATACAGCCATTGCCAGCAGTTCCAGCATCCCATATGGGTGCTGGTTCAAGCCTTGGCTGCTCCACTTCTGAACCAACTCCCTGTGATGTCATTGGGAAGCAGCAGAAGATGACCCAAGTGCTTGGGTCCCTGGACCCACATAGAGGGTGGGGAAGAAGCTCCTGGCTCCTGGTTTCAGATCAGTTCAGCTCTACCATTGCAACCATTTAGGGAGTGATGAAGGATATATGTCTATTTCTCTCTCTTTTTCAAATAAATAAATAAATAAATCTTAAGAAATAAATGGAGATAGGAAGAAATGGATGAAGGGAGCGAAAGAGAAAAAGAAAGGAAGGAGGAAAAGACACACATCTAAGCTAGATGTGTGGTCAGCACATAGGGGAGGGAATGTGGGTCAGTTTGCAGAGGAAAGAAGGTGGATCAATATATACGGAAAGAAGAGCATTTCAATATGCAAAACAGGAAATCCAGCAGTGCACAGCATTGAAGGGGCTGGGAGAGTGTGACTGATCTGTCCCCTCTCCTACCTTACCAGGGTTAAAGAGGCATATGCATCCAGTATGGTTGGAGCATTTCCCACAAGCCAGGGTGAGGGCTCACTACATCACGTGCATTATCTCTCTTAATCCTTGTTGCAACACATGACATGACTTATATACTTACCCCATTAAACAGACAATGCAACTGCAACCAAGACAGGCTCCACACACTGACTGATGCTGTCCTCAATGATGTGGGAGGATTCAGATGCAAGTTGACCTGGCTTCCCAAACCTCACCTCAAGGGTCCCCTTCTTGCCTGCCTAAAAACATTGTGCTGGACCAATTCTCAGAGGAAACAGAGGAACAGGGGAACGGATCCTGCATGATCTGAGAGCTTAGAGCTTCTGCTCTCGTGGAGAAATCTTCAAATCTGGATTATGGGTTGGAGAAACAAATATCTGGGAACCATGATACAAAATATAACCTTTTCCAGACTCCTGTCTGAGGAGGGGGACCCGGATGGGCTCTTCCAGGCTGCTTGGGTGACCCGTTTCTCCCCATCCTTGAGATAGGACTGACTTAAAGCCTGTAGCTAGTTGCAGAAGTAGCTGAAGAAAGACAAACAGGGTCCTGGCTGCCTTCCCTCTCAGCAGGTATGATGACAGCATGATGTGCCTGATGATTAATAACAGTTCCAGAAACTTGAAACCCCAAGTCAACACATTCTGGAAGTGGCAGATCACTCGGTATGTTCCCATGCAGTACCTCCGTCAGCCAGCCCTCACATGAACAAACAAGTGAATAAACAGACAAACAGAACTCCCCCGGGTCTTAAAGGGAAGATGCTGCTTGCTGGATGTGTTTCAAAACAAGTGACTGGATCACCTTGTGAGGAGAGCCCAGGTGTGTGATGCACACCTGCCTTTCTCCTTGCCAGTCACCCATGAGGTTGACACTATCTTTGGAGGAAAGTCTTATTGCCGTGAAAACGGAGCTCTTTAAAGATTTGGGAAATTTCTTCCTCTCCTGAGACTTCATTTGCACAGTCTCTGATTTTTAAAATATCATACCTAACATAAATAGAATTATAAGAAGAAATTCTAAAAAGAAAAACATCTCTGTTCCTTTTCTCTCCTTCCTTCCTTCCTTCCTTCCTTCCTTCCTTCCTTCCTTCTTTCCTTCCTCCCTCCCTTCCTTCCTTCCTCCCTTCCATCTTTCTTTCTCTCTCTCTTTCTTTTTCTTTTCTTTCTTTCTTCCTTTCCTTTCCTTTCCTTTCCTTTCCTTTCCTTTCCTTTCCTTTCCTTTCCTTTCCTTTCCTTTCCTTTCCTTTCCTTTCCTTTCCTTTCCTTTCCGTATTCTGGGTTAACGACCTCATTATGGAGCAGCCTCTGATTGGATAGCTGAGAAATAGTCACACTCATTGGGATCAAGTGCTGTAGTGAGAAGATATATGCCCTGGCATCCCCTTGCCATTCACTGGCTATGTGACCTTGAGCAGGTCCCTTCTCCTTCCTGGGTCTTTCTGGGTCCTCAGTAAAGCAGTGACTGCATGGCCAAGGGTGATGGCTAAGTTCCCATCAGCTCCCAAATATCACAATCCATTCCACTGTGCTAGTATCACCCAACACCTCAATGATATGGGAACCCCTTCCAAACCTTCTCTATTCCTAACAGAGCAACACTGTGAGGATAGAAGTTGATGTCAGTGGGTGTCCACAATGGCTAAGGAACTCTTCCTGCTCCCCTCCTGTCCTCCTTCCTTCTACCTGGTGGGAAGACATGACCATCAACATTTGGAGAAGCAACTTGTTCAGAGTCACATGATGGAGTCATTTCTATTCCAGGGATCGCCTCACCTCACCTCACTGTCCCCAGATCATAATGTCTTCCAGAGTTGTAGATTAGCAGAAAGGGAATTGTTTTCAATACACTCCTCAAGGAATACTCTTAAGAGCAGGGGTCAAGCAGACCCAGATTTCAGGCTGTGTCCTGGTCTCTTCTTGTTTTTGTGTGTAAAGTTGCACTGGCACAAGCACAGGTGGGCTTTGCTGGTTTACAACCCATCTCTGACTACTTTAACACAACAACAGCTGAATTAGCTAATCATGACCTAGATGCCACAGCCCACAAATTCTAAAATATTTACTCTCTGGTATTTTACAGAATGTTCACACACTCTCGGGGCACAGTCCAACCAGCTTTTTCAAAAAGCAAATCATGACACAAGACTGTCCTGTGTGCTGGGAATCCTATCATGAGATCGTTTTCCAAAGGGGGCATTTCCGTTCAAATCTGATGGAAAAATCAGGTCCTGGCACCTGTCACGCAAACGAGGGAACTTAGTTTCCATGTGTTGCTCTTCCCAGGAACTCAAGGAAGGAGAAATAGAAATCTTAATTTTGGGGAAATTGCACAGAGGAAAAAGGGGGAGGGGACCGGTTTCAACACTTGGTTGCGACACTCAGTGGGGTTGAAGGTGACAACAGCAAGGGTTGCTGTTTTTGGAAATGTGAGGGTATTTCCGCTTGTCAGGCTGGACGATAACAGCTTGGTCTGGGTGAGCGCTTATCTTCTTTATAAGCAGCGAGCCTGGGTCCACAATGGCAGTCCCCTACGCCTTGCTGTGGCAGCAGGATGAGAATCTCCGGGGGCACCCACAGCCACCTAATCTCTCTCCTCCTCTTCCTGTTCTATTCAGAAGCAGTCTGTCGCCCCTCTAGAAAAAGACCTTGCAGGATGCAAGCCTTCAGGTAAGACTGCCCCCGCCTCCACCTGCGGGATGTGGAACGGTGGATGGATGGGCCAGAGACAGAGACCATCTCCATGCAGGGCCTTGAGAACTGGGTTAGTCATAAAAGGATGTGTGTGATTGGAGAGGGGGCTGCCACTGGCATGCTTTTCGGGGCTTGTATTTCCAAATAACTCCAGATGTGGCAAGCATGACAACAGGCCTGGCTCACTCTCCTACAGGCTCTGGCAGCTCAAGAATGACAAGGCACATGCCAGGCAGTGGTGTTGGTATTCAGGCCTGGCAGAGAGGGACAGAGAGGGCATCCCCAAAAAGCCCAGGCCAACTATGTTGTCATGTTAGAGGATCTCACATGCCTGGGGTTCATAATAACTCATGGCATAACTTTACTGGCTGAACGAAGACTAAATGTCCAGAGAATCACAGCGTGCTCTAAACTGTAAAGTGGCCTGCAACAACCAGGATTTTAAAATCAGCTCAGAGACGGTGTAAGCCATCTATATCACTATTGTAAAATGACAGGCTGCGACGCAGTGAGTGCTGTGGGTGTCTGCCCTCTGCCTGTGCATGACGGGACTGCAGTCACCTTGGGGCGCTTTGAGCTTCTGGTCTGAGGCTGCAGGTTGGGACTTGAGTGTGTAAGTGTGGGGGCAGGGAGGGGAAGGGGGGTTATCCTAAGACAAGTTGCCCTATTCCCAGCCATATCACTATCCTCTTCACAAAGTCTGCCCCCCATTGTTTCCTGGGGGGCTCCAGGATATGCCCTGGAGGCCTCTGGCAGTGACATAGAGTCCTACAAGGTTTGGGTGGTAAGGATACTGACAAAGGCCCAATGCGCAGTGCTTGTAGGTTTACGCAGAGTCCCTATGCAGCTCATGTACTGCCCAGGGCCGCCCGAAGGTGCCATTAGCTACACTTCACAGGTGAAGGTCAGGGCAGGTCCTCTTGGACACTGGCAAGGGCTCTGCTGATCATAGCTCACAGTTGCCCAGCCCCATTGTTAACCAGAAAGGCCCTGCCCAAAGAAGAAAGGGTTGGGAGCCATCAGCAAGCTCCTGGGTGAGCAAGCGTGGCAGCTGATTTATTCCCAGGCTTGACTGTCCTTGCTGGGTGGACGCATTCACCCAAAGTGGCTCTGTGCAAGGAACTTTTGTTGTTGTTGTTGAAGATTTATCCATTTTTATTTGAAAAGCAGATTTAGAGTGAGCAGGAGAGATAGAGAGAGATCTTTCATCTGCTGGTTCAACCCCTTCCCCTGCAAATGATCATAATGGCAGGAGCTGAGCTGATCTGAAGCCAGGAACCAGGAGCTTCCTCCAGGTCTCCCACATGGGTGCAGGAACCCAAGAATTTGGGCCATCCTCTACTGCATTCCCAGGCCACAAGCAGGGAGTTGAACTGGAAGTAGAGGAGCACAGTGCAATGGTTTAGTAGCTGAATCCTTGCCTTGCATGAGCCAGGTCCCACATAGGTGCTGGTTTGTATCCTGGCTGCTCCACTTCCCACCAGCTCCCTGCTGTGGCCTGGGAAAGCAAGTGGAAGATGGCCCAAAACCATATGACCCTACACTTGCGTGGGAGATCTGAAAGAAGCTCCTGGCTCCTGGCTTCGGATTAGTTTAATTCTGGCCCTTGTAGCCACTTGGGAAGTGTACCAGTGGATGGAGGATCTTTCTCTCTGTAAATCTGCCTTTCAAATTTAAAAAAAAAAATCTTTATTTTTTTTTTAATTTAACAAAATTAAAAATAAAAGGAAGTGGAGGAGCCAGGACACAGACCAGTGGGATATAGTGCTAGCATGCAGAGGATTAACCCACTGAGCTACTGCACTGACCCCACACTGAAATTTCTAACGCTTGCACTGTGGTAGCCACTAGGCTCGGGTGGCAATTTATATTGCATTTACATGAAGGAGCGTAGAAGAAAAGCAAAAACCCCAATGCTTGGTCTCACCACCTCCATTCCAAGATCATGGGAGGCCTGTGTGCCTAGTGGTTTCCCATACTGGATAGGAGGTTTGTAAAGCATGTCTGGGTCTCAGGGTTCTATGGGATTTTGTGCTCTAGAGCATGCCTCATTGAAACAGATTACCCAAATCTGAGATGAGAGGCAAGGTGAAGAGAGGGATAGTGATGGGGCTGTCCTCACCAGCTGAGGAAATTAAGCCTGGGTCTTAGCCAGCGAGGTGTGCTAAAACCAGCCCTCAAATAGAGCTGATTACAGACTGGGCAAGCTCTGGGAGACACAGGAAGACAGTGGGCACAGGGCTTGGCAGGCAACAGCTGTCTGTTATCCCTTTTACCTTCTAGAATCTGGGACGTTAACCAGAAGACCTTCTACCTGAGAAATAGCCAGCTCGTGGCTGGTTACCTGCAAGGACCAAATGCCAAACTGGAAGGTGAGTGGTTGTTAGGAAAACCGGTGCTGTGTGGATAATGGGTCAGCCTCTCTCACAAATCTTACGTCCCAATCCTTACTCCCTTGGGCAGTCTGTAACTGAGTTTGAAGCTGAAGACCTGACCACTAGAGGGCAGAGCCTCAGGAGGGCAGGGCCACCAGGAACAAACAGGGCCACCAGGTCCCAGGACCATGGCTGGAAGGTGCGAGAACCAGAAATCAAGATGGACCCTTCCCATCGTCCTGTGTCAAACCTTAGCCTCACCCCCAGGCTAACACATCACACACAAGGCTGGGCTTTGCCCCCTACTGAGCACATCACACTCAGTCACGTTCTGGTCTATTCTCTAAACAAGCTGAATGAACTTGCATAGGGTCTACCCACTCACCGCCTAGTTTCAGCTTCAGTAAGGAAAAGGCAGTCAGATAGTGGGAACACATGGTGTTCTAGACGCCATCAGCTCTCCATGCTCGCTCTCTTCCCACTTTTTCCATCCCTGCTGGCAGCCCCTGTCTCACTCTGCACGAGTCCCAGCCCTACTTCTCCTGGCTTTCTGGAGGTTCTCCTAATTAATGGTCGCAGTGGGGCGCAGGAGATTGAGTTTTTCACTCCCACGTGCCGACAGAGACAGCTGAGGGGAGAGTTGGGTTCGGGGTCTCCCAGGCTTCCCTGGAGCTGCATTCACGACTTGGTGACCTGTATTTTCCCCGTGCATGGGTCTTGCTGACAGGGAACACAGGCGTCCCTGGCAGAGTGAGGCTAGGATAGAAATTCCATGGATTGGAATCTAGGAAACGTGCTTCTTTAGGTGGAACAAGATGCTGTGTTCATTTTGATCTTCTGGTTTGGATGGTCCTGTGCTCCTGGTTTTTGGTTGGAGTTGCAGAAAAAGGAAAACATTCAGGGTTTCTCCATCGTCTCTGCCTCCTTTCTCTTCATTCGCCTGACCTTCCTCTCTGCTCTTTCCCAGAAAAGATAGACGTGGTGCCCATTGAGCCACAGACCATGTTCCTGGGCATCCACGGGGGGAAGCTGTGTTTATCCTGTGTGAAGTCTGGTGATGAGAGAAAGCTCCAGCTGGAGGTAAGAATTTGTGGCAGGCATCAAACCATCCCATAACCCAGTGGCTGAAAACAGCCACCATTTGCTCTTTCTGTTGCCTCTGTGGGTTGGTTAGGGCTAGCTGGGCTGTTCTGCTCTGCCCCCGGAGCATGCTTGGATCACACCTGAAGCTTCCTTCTGCAGCAGGGAGCGTGGCTGGCCCTGGGCAACCAACATGGTTTCTCAACCTCCAGGCTCCCTTTCCATGTGATTGTTCAGCATTCAAGGATGAGCTTGAGTTTCCTTACAGCAAGGTGTCTGGCTCCCAAGAGAGATGGTCCCCCAAAGACATGTGCAGGGCTTATTAAACTCTATTTGCCTCATCCTATGGGCTGAAGCCAGTCACATGGCCATCTGGTCTCAATATGAGAGTAGACTTGCAAAGGGTGGGAGCACTAGGAGGGAGGGCTTCAGTGTGCCTCTCTCTTGCTCACAGTAGTTAACACACTTGCATTCGCCTTTTAAAAAATATTATTTTTTAGCAAAGTTACCTGTTGGGACGTTTTTCCTCCACTCTTGGTCTACTTTACCTGATCAGTTGGTATCCCAACCAGACTCCAAGATTCCTGGATTCTGGGCAATAATAATGAGATGCCCAGTCCCAAGTAAAGATGGTTTGTCTCAGCCACTTGATAGGAATGATCTCAAATGTGTGTGGCCATAACTCTGGCACTGCCGTTTCCCTCAACTCTTCCTGAAGGGCCACTGCCTATTGCACACTGACAGCCTGGCGTGTCCCAGCCCCTCTGCGCTCACCTGACCCTCTGTTCGTTTCCAGGAGGTTGACATCACTGACCTGGGCAAGAACAGTGAGCAGGACAAGCGCTTCACCTTCATCCGCTCGAACAATGGCCTTACCAACACCTTCGAGTCTGTCTCCTGCCCAGGCTGGTTCCTGTGCACGGCGTTGGAAGCTGACCAGCCCGTCAGCCTCACCAACATGCTGAACGAATCTATTGTGAATACCAAGTTCTACTTCCAGGAAGACCAGTAATGCAGCCCAGGCCTGCCCCTCTCCGCTTCTAGCCCCTCAAGGACTCCGGGAACCACCTCTCCACCCCTGTGGAGCAGCCTTTGCATGGTCAGCCAATGGAACGAGGCCCGAGAGCCCTGGGCACCGGACTCTGTCTCCAGCCTCCTCAGTGGACACCACCTCCAGGCTGTCTGCAGAACTGTCTCTTTAAAGCACACTTCGCATCTGAGCAGCCCCCTGCTCGCAATGCTTGCCGTTCTCTCTGCTGTCTGGGAAAAGCCCAGACCACCTGCCCGGCCTTACACCCTCTGGGTCACTGCCCTAGCTGACAGGCCACTCACCAACCTCCTAAACAAGGGCTTCCCTCACCCTGATCCATAAACGGATGTTGGTTCCTGGGGAAGTGTTTAAGGGTCTATGAAAAATGGACTTCTTAGGTTTATTTTTTTTTTTTATTCATTGTAAAAGAGAAGCTCTCGCTTGGAATTGGGTCCTTTCTGGGAAGGGTTGGGGAACTGCCACACTCCTGCATTGTGAAATGATACTGTACTGCAAGTGGAAAACAGGGGAAACTTTTTTTTTTTGGCAATTCTTTTACTGATGTCCAAAACTCTTTGAGTGAGCAGTGAGCTCACTGTCACCTCCTGCATTTTCTTCTCTTTTGGAGCATCCCTGAGCCCCTCTGCCCACTCACTCACACCATTTTCACTCAACATCTTCCCAGCTGTGTGCAGCCTTCTCCATCCTGACCCCCACACCATGTAAGCTTGGCTCCCCGGGAGCTCGCTCCTGCTCTGCCGAGGTAGAACTCCATGAAGTGCACTTTGCCTGTGTTAACGATTCTGAAACTCCCTAAGAGATGGCCATGCTGTTGTCTGGCCCCAGTCTAGACGGCAAGCTCTGGGGAACGTGGAATAGGGCCAAGCACCTGGCCCTGGCCCTGGCCCTGGCCCTGGAGAAGTACTCCCAGCAAGTATGCTGTATGAGTTGGGTGGAAAGTTTCCTGCCTCTGTGACTTCAGCTCTGTTTTACAATAAAACTTTCCAAGCACTTGCTGTGTTGGCTGTGTTCCTGGCCATGCCAGGCTCAGGGCATGGTGTGCAAGGGACAATGGTGAGGCCAATGGGTCCTTCTCAACTCCTTGGGCCAGGTCGTGGCTCCTTCTCCTCTAAGAGTCCTTGTCCTTAAGGGTTTCTGTTTCCCTGGATAAGAGGAGAGCAGACTTCCCTACCAGGAAGCTGTGCAGCAAGCTTTGTCCACAACAGCTGCCATGCAGCCATCGCAAAAGAGCAAGTACATGCACCTTGAATATGCCTACAACACAGCATTTGATTGCACCACAACCGACTGTGGAAGCACTCAGCACAAACAGATGAATCTGGCAGACAAATGTAGAGCATGATTTCATGTACATGAAGTTGAAAATGGCCAACGTGGAGCTGTTGTATAGTGGATATACAGACAGATGGGCCAAGCTAGGGAGAAGCAAGGACAAGCCCACCCTAAAACCTATGGCATAGTTGGCTTCCAAGAGAGTGTCAAGCAGGAGCACTTGGGGGTGACCAGAGTCAGGCATCAACCTATTTCACATTAGCCTATATACATATGATGGAATCTTGAGTCTGGCCCTATAGACAATCAGTCAGCAAACAACAGTGCAGTCCTTTCTCTTGCCCAAGCTCTGTTGCATTCTGGACTTGAACTTTATACTCCTAAAATGAAGCTCCAGGGGAGCCATGCACCTGCAATTTGTTTTAGGCCAAGTCATCTCCCACCTTGGAGCCTGTTCCTCTTGGGTTCAAGGGGGGTGGTGATTTAGAAGGGGTTTTTCAAATGGAGCTCCTGGATCAACTCTCTGAGGTCCTTAAAGGTGGGGACCCCAAGAAGGGGAAGTCTCGATGTCATCAGGTTCCAACTTTCAGACCTGCGCCCACTTCTTGGCCTTCCCTGCTTCACAAACTGAACTTCCCATAGGACTTAGTATGAAGAGGAGGTTCTAAAGGTAAAAGCAAATGAGGGTAAGCAGCAGACTGCTAAAAGGCACCCAACTGCATGCTCAAAGTCTTGGCTGCTGTAATGATGTGTAGAATGGCCAACACTTCTGAACCAACCTACCCTACAAGGATGATACAGGACTGAAATGAGCTGAGCAGATGACATGATGGATAAGTGCAAATGGCATGAGGCGCATATAGGAGGTCTGGATGATTTTTGACAAAGGTGGCAAGAACATACATTAGAAAAAGGAATTAATTGTCTTTTCAGGGGCTGGTCTAGTGGCTTTGCAAGCTAACCCTTTGCCTGAACTGCTGGCATCCCATATAAGCTGCTTCACTTCTGATCCAGCTCTCTGCATATTGCCTGGGAAAGTGGTGGAGGGCAGCCCAAGTCCTCGGACTCTTGTATCCACGGGGGATACCTGGAGGGAGAACCTGGCTCCTAACTTTAGGAAGAGAACCAGTAGATGAAAAATCTCTCTCCTCTGTGTGTGTGTGCGTGCGTGTGTGCCTCCTTCTTTCTCTCTGTAAATCTGCCTTTCAAATAAAAATATAAATATTTTCTTAAAAAATAGTGTTTTCAACAAATGATGTCCAGCAAAACCAGACACATGTATGTAGAATAATAAATGTCCAGGACTGACGCAGTGGCTCAACAGGCTAATCCTCTACTTGCAAGTGCTGACATCCCATACAGGCACCAATTTGTATCCCAACTGATTTACTTCCCTAGCTCCCTGTTTTTGGCCTGGGAAAGCAGTGGAGGATGGCCCAAGCCCTTAGGACTGTGCACCCATGTCGGAGACCTGAAAGAGGCTCCTGACTCCTGACTTCAGATGAGCTCAGCTCTGCCATTGTGGCCATTTGGGGAGTGAACCAGCAGAGGAAGATCTCCCTGCCTGTCTCTCTCCTTTGTACGCATACCTTCCTGGCAAAAAAAAAATGAATTTTCAAAAATATATATCTTTTCCATTCATCATATGCAAAAATCAACTCAAGATAGATCAAACACCTAAATACAAGACCAGAAACTGTTAAATTACTAGAAGAAAATGTGGGAAAAACATTTGAAGACACTGATGTAGGAGAGGAAGAGAAAGGGGAAGGAAAGAGAGGGAGGGAGAGGGAGGGAGGGGGAGGAGGGGGAGGGAGGGGAAGGGGGAGGGAGAGGAGGGGGAGGGAGAGGAGGGGGAGGAGGAGGAGGGGGAGGGAGAGGAGGGGGAGGAGGAGGGGGAGGGAGGGGAGGGGGAGGGAGAGGAGGGGGAGGGAGAGGAGGGGGAGGAGGGGGAGGGAGAGGAGGTGGAGGGAGAGGAGGGGGAGGAGGAGGGGGAGGGAGAGGAGGGGGAGGGAGGGGGAGGAGGAGGAGGGGGAGGGAGAGGAGGGGGAGGGAGGGGGAGGTAAAAGAGGGGGAGGGAGAGAGGGTTTCTATCCGTTGCTTTACTCCCCAAATGTCTGCAATGGCTGGAAGTGAGCTGATCTGAAGCCAGGAGCCAGGAGCCTCTTCCAGGTCTCCCACGAGGGTGCAGGGTCCCAAGGTTTGGGGCCATCCTCCACTGCTTCCCCAGGCACATTATCAGGCAGCTAGATGGGAAGTGGAGCAGCTGCAGTTTGAGTCAGCCCCCATACAGATGTTGTCATGGTCTGCAGCTTTACCTGCTACTCCAGCACTGACCCCCTTCCCCAAGGCTATCTGAGGGAGGCAGGTTTCATGTCAAGCAAATTGGGATTTTCTGCTGTAGTTTAGGGATTTCATAACCACATGAAGAGAAAACAAGCTATGCGCCTCCCCTCCTGATTTGCAAAAATACCCCCAATTTATGTAAAATAGTAAATATAGTAAAGATAAATGTAAAATATAGTAATAGTAAATTTACATAAAATAGTAAGGAGAGGTGTGAAGCTGACGATTTGTTGTAACTAGTCTATAAGGGAGAAAATAGGAAACCTCCTACCTGCAACCCAGTTTAGCACATGCTCAAACCACACGGCCGGAGAGGTGCACAATCTTTCCCAGAAGCGAACAGCATCTCTCACCTTTGCACTGAGAGGTGCGCTCAGGGAGAAGGAAGCTGCTGGAGTCCGCCAGGGGCAGAGGGACTTGACTCATTCTGTTTCCAGTCCTTTGAACTGCCCATATGGGATACCAGTATCACACATGGAGGCTTAATGTGCTATGCCACAATGCCAGTCCCTATGGTTAGATTTTTTTTTCAATTTATTTATTTTTATTGGAAAGTCAGATATACAGAGAGGAGGAGAGACAGAGAGGAAGATCTTCCATTCACTGATTCACTCCCCAAGTGTCTGCAACGGTCAGAGCTAAGCTGATCCAAAGCCAGGAGCCAGGAACTTCCTCCAGGTTTCCCACGTGGGTGTCAGATCCCAAGGCTTTGGGCCATCCTCCACTGCTTTCCCAGGCCACAAGCAGGGAGCTGGATGGGAAGCAGAGCAGCCAGGACATGAACCGGCGCCTATATACAGTTCATATATGTGGAGGACTTTAGCTACTAGGCTGCCGCACCAGGCCATTGCTAGAAAAATCTTCTACCATTGCCCTTTTCTCTTTGTGAAGGCTGGCTCCAAGGGACATCCCTGCAGACAATCCCAATGTCACAAATTCTGGACTAGGTTCTGGAGAACGACCACCATTTCCGGATTCCACCACTAGGCGGCGCTTGTGTCCCCCAGTTAGCACTCAATGTTGCCATCATCCCTGAGTGAGAGGGTGTGACCTCTGACCATGGGTTCCAGTGCTTTCTCTAGGCCATTAGCAAAGAGCTGGACATCAGACAGGGAGATGGCCATCAGGCAGGACACAAACACATCCGTATGGGATGCAGGTGTTTCAGGAAGCAGCGATATCTGCTTTGTTACAATGCCATCCCTTATATATAGATTTTTATTAAGATTTATTTTTATTTTAAAGTCAGATATAACAGAGGAGGAGAGAGAGGAAGATCTTCTGTCCCCCAGTGGCCGCAATGGTCAGAGCTAAGCTGATCCGAAGTCAGAAGCCAAGAGCTTCTTCTGGGTCTCCCATGCGGGTGCAGGGTCCCAAGGCTTTGGGCTGTCCTTGACTGCTTTCCCAGGCCACAAGCAAGCAAGGAGCTGGATGGGAAGTGGGGCTGACGGGATTAGAACCGGTGCCCATATGGGATCCTGGTGTGTGCAAAGCGAGGACTTTAGCCACTAGGCTACTGTGCTGGGCCCCTACAAACACGTTTTTAAAACAATAGTTCTGTGAGCTTTGATAAATGCATCCATTCATTTAGCCTCCATCCCAATGATAATGTAGGACATGTTTCTGTAACTCCTGAAAATTCTTTTGCATCTCTTTCTAATCAAACCAACCCTGTATCTAAGAGGTAAGCACAGTTCCTGAGTGCTATCCCACAGCTCAATGGTGCCCTGGTTTCAGCATCATATAATCCCCTCCCTCCATATGCCTCAGAACGTCACCCACCCCGTGGGAGATCAGCAGGATGTTTCTTTCTGTTGCTGAGTAGTATTCCAGCCGATGGCACCATCACAGCAGTCTGACCAGGGACTCGGGGGTTGTTCCCAGCTGTCGTCTGCGGCAGATACATCAGCTATTCTTTGACACAACTCTTTTTGTGGACATATTTTTCTCAGTTTTCTTGGGTACATGCCAATGAGCGGAATGTCTGGGTGCATGTGTCGCTTTACTGAGAACTGGCCAAGTTGCTTTCCAAAGTAGCAATGTTGTTACGCATCCCCATCAGCAAAACTGGACACTACTCCACTTGTTCCTGTCTTTGTATATTTGGTGTTTTCAGTTTGGGCTGTTCTTGTGAGAAAAATCATTTTAAAAATTAGCTTTGCAGATCTTATTTGCCATGCTGCAATCAGGCAGGAGTCTGGGTCAGAAATGACTCAGTAATCTCCCTTGGCCACACGAGCAGGTTATACCGACAGCCAGACAACAGAAGGGGCCATAGAGGCGCAGCCTGACAGATGGCCTGCTGGGCTATACCTTGGCTGGACATGGTTCGACCAGCTGCGATTGGCTAGCACTCAGCTGCTTGCTACTAG